CAAAGGGGTTTTGAGGAGTGGAATGCCGAACAAGGGCTCCTGCTGTTCCGTGGGTGCGTGTACGTCCCAAAGAATGCGGAGCTCCGGCGGGATATAGTCAAGATCCACCACGACTCGCCGATCGCTGGCCATGGCGGTCGTGCCAAAACCCTGGAGCTCGTATCGCGGAACTACTGGTGGCCAGGAATGTCTAAATTCGTCAATGAGTACGTAAGCACCTGTGACGTGTGCAACCGTACCAAGACATTCCCAGCCAAGCCCCAGGGTCCGCTGAAGCCGAACGAGATCCCCAAGCGCCCGTGGCAGGTTATCACGACCGACATGATCGTCGGCTTGCCAAAGTCTGATGGATTCGACTCGATCCTGGTTACCGCCGACCGCTTCACCAAGCAGGTCCACTTCTCAGCCTGTCATGAGACCCTGACGGCAGAAGGTGCGGCAGACCTGTACATCCGCGATGTGTTCAAGCATCATGGGGCCCCGGCCAAGGTCATATCAGACCGAGGTCCCCAGTTCGCTTCGAAGTATCTCCATGCGGTGTACAAGGGACTTGGGATCGAGCCGGCGCTGTCCACAGCGTTCCACCCCCAGACAGATGGCCAGACTGAGCGCTGGAATCAGGAGATCGAGCAGTACCTGCGTGCCTTCACAAGCCACAGACAGGATGATTGGGCGAAGCAGTTGCCGCTCGCGGAATTCGCACTAAACAACCGAGTTCATTCCGCGACCGGGCATTCCCCTTTCTTCCTGCATCAAGGGTACAATCCTGAGATCCAGGTTCGGATCAATCCGATGTCTGCGATGCCTGCGGCCGCTGATTGGCTCAAGATCCTGAAGGAGGTTCGCGATGACACGCGCTCTGCGCTCGAGCTGTCGGCCGAGCGCATGAAGGTGTACTACGACAAGCACGTGCAAGAGGCACCGGTCTTCGCGCCGGGAGACAAGGTCTGGCTTGATGCCCGGAACCTTAAGCTGAAACAGCCGAGCAAGAAGCTCAGTCCCAAGCGCCTCGGACCATATGCCGTGCGGCGAAAGCTCGGAGACTTGGATTATGAATTAGTCCTGCCGAAGTCGGTGCCAGTGCACCCGGTATTCCATGTCTCCTTGCTTAGCAAGTACACGCGTAGCGATATCCCGGGCCGGGAGCCGGAGGAGCCGCCTGCGATTGAGGTTGAGGGCGACGAGGAGTACGAGGTTGAGCGGATCAAGGATTCGTGGATCTTCCGGTGTCAGCTGCAGTACCTCGTCAAGTGGAAGGGTTATGACGACTCGCATACGTCATGGGAACCGGCGCGCAACGTTGCCAATGCGCCGGCCCTCATAGCCGACTTCCACAGGAAGAATCCAAACGCCCCTCGCCGCCTCAATGCTGCTACCTTTGGTGGTCTCAACTTTCAGCCAATGCCTTCGCCGCTGACTGAAGCACGTTGCCGCTCCGGGTGGGAGATGGGCAAGGGCGCCTCGCATGAGGTCATGCGCCGTTGAGGGGGGGGTAATGTCACGACTTGGTACGGCGTCTAGCCGTTTTTTAATTTTTTCCTTTTTGCAGGCTTGAACCCGCGACCTCTGTACTACATACCGGATATGGATGCGTCACTATCTACTGTACGATTAGATTAGATGGGGCGGCAGCGCACGGCACAGCTCGGGCTCCGCTGACACAGCCTCTCTGACTCACCAGCCCCCGGGGCCGCGTCGGCATGCTGCGCACAGACCAGCTGCGCACGGACCAACGTGCACAGCCTGCCCTAATCTCCCCATGTATATAAGCCGGCCTCTGCTGCCCTAGGGACCTCAGTTTCGACCTCTTGTCCCTAGGTCAGTAAGCCCCTCATGTATTCTCTTTCCTACTTAACTAACTAATACATTTCTTGTCCCTAGCCTTAGGTTTGAGCCTCGCTCACCATCGCTTCGGTGAGAACCAGTCGGACGCCCCTCGCTTCTCGATATTTCCCTGT